GAATCGCATCATCATCATCATCATCATCATCATCATCATCATCATCATCATCATCATCATCATCATCATCATCATCATCATCATCATCATCATCATCATCATCATCATCATCATCATCATCATCATCATCATCATCATCATCATCATCATCATCATCATCATCATCATCATCATCATCATCATCATCATCATCATCATCATCATCATCATCATCATCATCATCATCATCATCATCATCATCATCATCATCATCATCATCATCATCATCATCATCATCATCATCATCATCATCATCATCATCATCATCATCATCATCATCATCATCTCATCATCATCATCATCATCATCATCATCATCATCATCATCATCATCATCATCATCATCATCATCATCATCATCATCATCATCATCATCATCATCATCATCATCATCATCATCATCATCATCATCATCATCATCATCATCATCATCATCATCATCATCATCATCATCATCATCATCATCATCATCATCATCATCATCATCATCATCATCATCATCATCATCATCATCATCATCATCATCATCATCATCATCATCATCATCATCATCATCATCATCATCATCATCATCATCATCATCATCATCATCATCATCATCATCATCATCATCATCATCATCATCATCATCATCATCATCATCATCATCATCATCATCATCATCATCATCATCATCATCATCATCATCATCATCATCATCATCATCATCATCATCATCATCATCATCATCATCATCATCATCATCATCATCATCATCATCATCATCATCATCATCATCATCATCATCATCATCATCATCATCATCATCATCATCATCATCATCATCATCATCATCATCATCATCATCATCATCATCATCATCATCATCATCATCATCATCATCATCATCATCATCATCATCATCATCATCATCATCATCATCATCATCATCATCATCATCATCATCATCATCATCATCATCATCATCATCATCATCATCATCATCATCATCATCATCATCATCATCATCATCATCATCATCATCATCATCATCATCATCATCATCATCATCATCATCATCATCATCATCATCATCATCATCATCATCATCATCATCATCATCATCATCATCATCATCATCATCATCATCATCATCATCATCATCATCATCATCATCATCATCATCATCATCATCATCATCATCATCATCATCATCATCATCATCATCATCATCATCATCATCATCATCATCATCATCATCATCATCATCATCATCATCATCATCATCATCATCATCATCATCATCATCATCATCATCATCATCATCATCATCATCATCATCATCATCATCATCATCATCATCATCATCATCATCATCATCATCATCATCATCATCATCATCATCATCATCATCATCATCATCATCATCATCATCATCATCATCATCATCATCATCATCATCATCATCATCATCATCATCATCATCATCATCATCATCATCATCATCATCATCATCATCATCATCATCATCATCATCATCATCATCATCATCATCATCATCATCATCATCATCATCATCATCATCATCATCATCATCATCATCATCATCATCATCATCATCATCATCATCATCATCATCATCATCATCATCATCATCATCATCATCATCATCATCATCATCATCATCATCATCATCATCATCATCATCATCATCATCATCATCATCATCATCATCATCATCATCATCATCATCATCATCATCATCATCATCATCATCATCATCATCATCATCATCATCATCATCATCATCATCATCATCATCATCATCATCATCATCATCATCATCATCATCATCATCATCATCATCATCATCATCATCATCATCATCATCATCATCATCATCATCATCATCATCATCATCATCATCATCATCATCATCATCATCATCATCATCATCATCATCATCATCATCATCATCATCATCGTCATCGTCGTTGTCGTCGATAGATACTTCCCTTTTCTTTTTTCAATCTAGACTGAGCTTAGTGGGATTCAAAGTCATCAGAAGATATAAGATTAAGTAAAAAGATAATTCTCCTTAAGTTTACTTGTCTGAGTGATATTTGTATAGTATATATAAAGTAATTATTATAAACATGGTTAATTTTGGATAGGCTTATTTTCAGGTTATTTACTCTCTCGCTACTACCAATATTGTGGAACTTAGCCAGAACCATAAACCCAATAGTTTTAACAGTGTTGGTCTGACAAATACTGTAAATTGTGTGTTTTAATATGTATTATAATGTTTAATTCAATATCTATACAGACAGATCTATCGAAATAGTTAAATAGAAGGGAGAAAAAGTGAATAATTGATTAACTGTATGTACAAAAGAGTCACATCAAAACTGGACATTGATAGAAAACAAGTATAAATGTAAATTTGTTGAAACCAGTAATAAAATGTATGTAATTATAGACCGAAACAGATAATGACTAGTAGTGGAATCCAGGACGCACGTTTCGTCGTATTTCTAACTCGTCAGCTGGATTCACCTGAATCGCAGAGTTTATGTTCAATCCTAAATACATACAGCTGACGAGTCCCAAATAAGATGAAACACACATGCTGAATTCCAATGCTAGCCACCATCGATCTTTGTTTAGAGTACTTGTGAATTAAGGCAATATCGAGGCAATCCATAAAATAATCAATTACAGTACTAAACAATTATGAGAAGATTCAAGTAAACAATACTAAGTCAATTTAAATTATATGCAAATTTAGAATAACAAAATGTTCAAAATAATCATTACAGACAACAATTTTTTTTAAAAAAGCCCTAGACTATTATGATGAATTCATCAGTTTCTAGCAAATTGTTAACTCAATCTCAATGTTATTGATAGTAGTTAAGATGAAAACCAATAGATGTTTTTCACTAGTCAAATAATGAAGAATCTACATTAAGTTAGTGAAATGATAATCATGGCTGTTAAGATATTTCATTATGTTAAAATACAATAGTTAAATATAAAAAATAAATCATCAGTGTAACTGTGTCATTGGTTATTGATTTCATACAAATAGTTCGCAATTGATTGATCACTGGGTGGTGATCAATGTCATGTATGTCAAGTCCTTCGTAGTGAAGATCGAATCTTATCGACCAAGTTTCAATATGGCCACTAGTCTTGGTGACTCGACATTGTGTCACTATGTTGTGATAAGATGGTGGTTGGAGGCAGTCAACACGAAACCCTGAACCTAGGTTTCGTGCTACTTGGCACTCGTCAGCAAGGTTCATCTTTGATCTTGAAGGAACTGGTGCTCCCCGACGGATTCGATCCAGTTTCATCCAGCTTCACAACCAGAGACGTCACCACTGGGCTATCCGGGCCGCGACCGACCTCCTGTAGGACTGAGTTCCCTTTATGAATTTAAATAAAGCCAGAACAAACATTGATGCAGAATAATATGAATTCCCAATATAAAGGTTGTGGAGATTATTAACTTTTTGATTGAGATCATGAACCAATTGATGTTAGATCACCATTGAAAACTTGTAAGCACTAGACGGCCGTTTCGTCCTATTGTGAGACACCTCAGCAGCGCGCATCCACGGTCCCGCTCGCGGGATTCGAACTCAGGGCCTTCAGTCTCGTGTTCGAACACCTAACTTACTGGACCACTGAACCGGCATGCAATGGTGTTAGTGTCTAACATCAATTGGTACATGATCTCAATCAAAAATTTAGTATGAATTCATTATATTTCGTGGTTATTTGGTGTTAGAATCAAGGAAACATTAAGGATGTGTGATGTAATAGTTGAGTGAAGTTTAGGGACATAAGATGAATTATGTGAAAATTTGAGAGGTAATGAAGGGTTTACATAAGATAATTAGAATTAAAAAATTGTGAAGATGGGTTACGTAATAATTGAATAGAACTTGAAGGGTTCACTTAATTTAAGAGAATAAAGTGAGTGGAAATGTATGAGTGAAGGGGTGGTTTGTGAATTCGGTGATGGAAGAGAAATATAACAAAATAAAACTAATGACTAAAAAAATTGAATTACCAGGGTAATAATACTATGAATCGTATGTAAACCCTTCATTACCTCTCAAATCTTCACATAATTTATCTTATGTCTCTAAACTTCACTCAACTATTACATCACCCATCACTAATGTTTCCTTGATCCTAATACCAAATAACCTCTCAACTGTTCTTGCACATACACATAAATATAGTTATTATTGATAACTTTCGTCATTCCAATTCTTTATGTTCACTTATGTCAATTGTTCCGTACTATTTTTAACCTCAATGTAAAATTCTAATACATAGTTGGTTGTAAGCAGCTGAGGAGAAACCATGAAATATAATGAATTCAGGTTATTTGTTCATTTATTTATCTAAACACATGAACATCAGAGCAAGGAGGCACCAAATATATATGCGCCACACTTCGTCATTACATTTGTTTCAAGGCTGGACTACTGCTCAGGTTTCAAAACGGAAACATATGGTTTTCTTAGGAGGTCACACACCAAGCACTTGACTTGAAGGTCTAATCCACAAAACAGTGGAGGAGCGTTACGGGGCTAAGTTCCATGGTAACCGTTGATCAACAATAGTTTCATACGCCATTTTTCCCCCATGATTCTGGAGCCCATGTGCACCATCGGTTTGGGATCAAGGTTGTTCAACTCTCTTATGTGAATCATTTGCATATAACCAACCCGGTTAAGGCCCTGGATATTCACTTTCCGTTCTCTCAATTACGTAAACAACACTCCCACCACAAGAAGGTAATGAGTAAGACTTTCCCGTCAGTGGTTGTATACACGTGGCAGCATGTGAGAGCATTTCAAACGACAGAGTGGACTTTCCCCACCCTCGACCGAACTAGGGCATTTTTTTTAGGGGGAGAGCTACTGTGTGATTGATTTTGATTTCAAGTTTAATCAAATAACATCTTCAATAATCAAACTTATTATTATGCCGATACAAACTTTACAAATTTCCTATAGAATTCACAACAGTAATCAACCATTTCATAAATGAATTATTCATGATTTTTATCATGAAAAAGATTGTATATTGTACAATTTATCACAAAAAAATTAACCCATGAAAATCATCTTATAGGGAGATAAATAAATATGCACTTAGAAAATGAATACTTATTGAATTCATATAATCTCCACGGCACCCCCCCCCCCCGCCTTTCTTTCTGATGATAATAATAATACTAATGGTGTTATTCTAGAATGTTTAGTTCAATAATCTAATGATTTTTATGAACTTATAATCAAACTTCCTTATTCAATTGGATCATGAAAAACGTATCCATTTAATATACGCAGTTTATAAATGACCATAGAAGTTATTAGATATTGAGTTAATAAAATTCAATTAAATAATTATATTTAGTGAAAAAAAAACACAACTAATTATCATTAATATATCATTGAAATATTTTCTTTGGTAAGTTGTATATAATAGAATTCTTAATTGTTTTGTTGTGCATATTTAAAAGTACAGTCTCATAGATTGAAAACACGAAGTTCACCGAAGGGATCTCTTTTCAACGAATTTATTATCAAGCTAGTATTATAATTTTTTGGTTAGCGTTTCTTTAGCGAGTTAGTTTTCTACGAGATGGGGTCGCTAACCCTATGCCCAACACCCCTCCTTTATCCGGGATTGGGACCGGCAGTAACCCTTGGAGGGACTTCAGGCGAAGTTATAATTTTTCTGGGCAACATCATTGATGAACACGGTGGATCTGATGCGGATGTGAAAGCGCGGATTGGAAAAGCAAGAGCAGCACATTTACAACTGAAAAACATCTGGAACTCTAAACAACTGTCAACCAACACCAAAATAAGAATTTTCAATACAAATGTCAACACAGTTCTATTGTATGGGGCGGAAACCTCGAGAACTACGAAAGCCATCATTCAGAAGATATAAGTGTTTATTAACAGTTGTCTACACAAAATACTTCGCATCCGTTGGTCAGACACTATCAGAAACAACCTATTGTAGGAGAGAACAAATCAGATCCCAGTGGAGGAGGAAATCAAGGAGAAGCACTGGAAGTGGATAGGATACACATTGAGGAAAGCAGTGAACTGCATCACAAGATAAGCCCTCATATGGAATTCTCAAGATCAAAAGAACACATTACGCCGGGAAATGGAGACAGACATGAGAAGAATAAACAAAAATGGGATAGAACTGGAAAGGAAGGCAGAGTGGGAGAGAGTGTGTTGGAGAATGCTGGTCGGCGGCCTATGCTCCATTAGGAGTAACAGGAGTAAGTAAGTAATTAGTATTATAATATTTTCTATTACATCATCTTTGTTGTTCGTGTTCACATTTCTTCATAGAATTAGGACTTTAACAAGAACAATTGTACAGCTTGATAATAAATTCGTTGAAAAACAAAATCCCTTCATTGAACTTCGTGTTTTTAATTTTTAATGTTTAAATGAGAATTATCTGTCAACTTCATAGATATTCGTAAATATTATAATTTTAATAGTTGAAATCACGAGTCAATTGAAGCTAGACCACCAGAGAAAACCTACAAGCATTGGACGGCCGTTTCGTCCTATTGTGGGACTCCTCAGCATTTCGCACCTACGACCTCACCGCACAGGATTCACTCATGATTTCAACTATTGAAATTTCTAAAATCTCTACAAAACCCCTTCTGAAAATATTATAATTGTTTATATTTCTTAATACGTTTGTATATTTACTCGAAAAGACTAAGTTGATGTACCTCATTTATAAGGTAAAATACTATTACTTTATTAAATCAAATGTGATGTGTTTACCTCACCAGAAAAACGGTTTTATATTACTCTAACAATAACTTACCTTCGTTATTTGTCTTTAAATATAATATTTGGCTATCATTATGTGAATAATTTCATTTATATACATTTCATTACCACGGTAATTCTAGCAACACAAAAGTATACATACACATATAGCGGCATAATCTATGGAGCACTCAACTACCAAAGGCCTAAATGACATAAAATTAACCTAAAGGAAATTTAGGGAATGGATAGTATAGTATATGAAATTGGTTTCTGAACCTATCGGTTGTCATTTTGAGTAGCTCAGACAGTTATAGACTTCGAGGTTGGTGTTCATATACTAGTTCTATTCTATGGTTGAAAACTTTAAGCAAAATGATTATTTGAAATCAGTATAGATGGCATAATTGTATTCCTATCATTTTAACGTTTAGTTTCATTGCATAATTCTCATTCTTTCCCATTTTTTCTAGCTTCTCACTATGATAATTTCTATAATCAAAATATTAATTTAAAGTGTTCTTTATATTTCTGTTAGTTCTTACTTTGTTTATCATTGAACTACTCAGTTCTTCATTATTTGACCATATTTTTAAGCCTGATTCATTTAATTCAGTTTGAACAATCCAGTTTTGTGATAATGCACATAAGAGTAAACTGTAACAAGACGTGTGTTTGGTTACAGAGTTACCTAAATAAAACGCCGTATATCACAGGTACAATTTAAATAATTTGAATGATTGTAACTAACTAAATGATGCCAAGAAAAGAATTTTCAAAGATGTTTACTATTTATAGTTAATTAACAGAGAGTCATAAATAACAAAATCCCATTAATAAATGTAACAATGAAAGGAGTATCGCAATATATATATATATATATATATCATCAATCAGAAAGGAAATTCTTTTGAGTTCTGTAGATTCAATCATACTTAAAGTCATTTGTACATTCAATGAAAAGAAATACTGAGCGATAACCTAACTTTATAAGCAAATATGGATGGTGGCTAGCAGTGAAATCCAGAACACACGTTTCGTTCTATTTGGCACACGTCAGCTGGATGTACCTGCATCTCAGAGTTGATGTTCATTCTGTGACTCGAATCCAGTACCGTTTGCTTCAAACGCCATCGCGTTATCCACTTAGCTACTGAGTCCTGATAGCCACTTGCTTGTGTAATGGGGTGAAGTTTTAAATTCACATGGTATTGTTTACTTGAATCTTCCCATTAATATTTAGGAATGCAATTGACCAGTCTCTTATTAACATATGGGCATACTGTGAGTAATGCCTTGATATTGCCTTAATTCACAAGCATTCTAAGTAAAAGTGGATGATGACTAGCAATGGAATCTAGTTTTACGCACGTTTCGTCCTATTTGGGACTCGTCAGCTGGATGTGCCTGCATCTCAGAGTTGGTGTTCACTCTGGGACTCGAACTCAGTACCATATACCCACAGTATGAACATATGCCAATAAGATACTGATCATTTGCAGTCCTAAACATCAATGGGGAGATTCAAGTAAACAATACCAAGTGAAGATAACCTAACTTGTTGGGTAATTAATTATATAAATCAATGTGAAACTGAAACAGTCTAAAGATTCATAATAATATGATAGCTATCTGCACTTGTGGTAACTGTACTGACATAATAAAAAATAGTTCTTATTTAAAAGTCGTGTGAGTACTTTAACTGACTAATTTTGCAAAAAGATTTATTGAAGGTAGAGAGTTTAGTGCTTAAGGAAGTAACTTTTGAATTTTTCTCCAATATTTATACATTGACCAACGTTTTAAATAAATAAGCAACGTTATCTGAGACCGGAAATGCTATCTGGTTTTGCAATTGACATGTAGTAAAATAAGGGTGTAAATTATACGCATAATCTTGATACTATTGAATTTATCTATGTCTACATTTCGGATCATGTGTAGAGGCTAATTTCCCCTATATCTGACTCAAATAAATAGTATCCCGTTAACTGAGTATTTAATGCAGGCTGAATCTCCTAGTAGAATTCTGGATTTACTCGAGATTATTCAAAAACGTGAACACCAGTTATAGAGATAATTTATTGTTAAAGATTGGTAAAATCCACGAGCGTACAGGAAGCAAGCACACAGGGAAAACAAGAGTGTGTGTGTGAGTGTTAAAAATCCATATATATTTTTGAGTGTTAATCAAGTATGGATAAATTATTGATTGTCTGTGTGTTACAACCAATGGGAGAATAGATTAAAAATGAATGTGCAGAAATATGCTCAATCATACTCACACAGAAATCTACATAGTGGATCAAGTGTCTAAATTACAGTGAGCAGATAAATAATACAGTAGTTGAATGGGCTTGCTACACATGTGTTTAAATTTTAATCAAACCTTTATTGCATTACATTTTAATATGATGAAATACCATTCTGGATATCAGAGTACATGAATGTGATTCTGCAAAGAATACAATCTAGAACCGATCAACTGAATGATGCTGACAATACATCTTCACTCAAGACAACCTTAAAAATTTCAGGCAAATTTAAGTATGACATTATATTTGGATGAACTTTAATCATTATAACAAGTAAAGTGTAGATTAACTAAAATTCTGAATACCAAAACCTGATCAATAATGATACAAGTAAAAACTAAAAAGATCTATATTACCTGGATATGATTAAAAAAGCTAAGGGAATGTAACAGTAAAACCAGGTTTTTATTTATTTATTTTAACTCATAGATATTGGTACAAGGAGGCACCAAATACATATGCGCCACACAAATCTCATTCGGTATGTGTGAGGGCTGTGATACTGCCCGAGTGCCCAAACCGAAACAGGTGGTTTTCTTAAGGGGCCGCTCTCCGAGACTTTGACCTGAAGGTTCGATCCACAAGGCAGTGGAACATCGTAAGGAGATGCAGTCCCATGGAAGCCGGTGACCAACAATTGGTTCATACGCCATTTGTCCCCGCAGGATACTGGAGCCCATGTGCACCATTGGTTTGGAATCCGGTTAAAGCGCCGGACATTCGCTTTTCGTCCTCTCATTTTTGTAAACAACACCCCCGCCACGAGAAGGCAGTGAGTAGAACTTCCCTGCCAGAGGCTATATACGCGTGGGTAAAACCAGGTGGAAACATGTTAACAAAAAGTCTATTGTCATAATAGAAAATTTTATTCTCCTGGAACAAATAGACACACTTCGGAAAGTTTGAAAAAAAAACTATTTGACATTAAGAAGATCGTATAGGTATCAGTAAACAATCTTCTGTAAACTTCAAATTTAAATGCATTCTGTCGTTGACATGATAAATTATTATGTACCGAAAAATCTATTTTGACAAAAGTTACTACTAATTGTTGTTACATTATAAAATGACATGTTAAAGATCTTTCTGATTATTATAAAGAAACAAGGTAGAGTTATAGAATTTCTAAAATTCTAAAGCAGAACTAATTGAAGATGTGATATTTGATAGTGTAAAAGTATGAGTAAATCAAATAGATACTGAATTGATTTTACAATAATGAATATTAAAAGAACAATATATTAGTATTAGAAGGGGTTTTGTGGAGATTTTAGTAATTTCAATGGTTAAGATCATGCGTCAATTGAAACTAGATCACCATAGAAAACCTGGAAGCATTGGACGGCCATCCAGTGACTCATTGACTCAAGATTTCAACTATTGAAATTGCTAAAATCTCCACAAAACCCCTTCTGATACTAATCAACATATACCCACTAGTGACTGGCTTCAAGATGTATATCCTGGAGTTCTAGTGAGAAGCCATGACTAGTGGAGTTAATCCGTGTCGGGTAGAGACAGGTGTTTACCTCAGTACAATGGAAGATGGTTGCACAATTTCGTGAATTGGTTGATGTTAGACATTAACACCGTTGGATGTCGGCTGGCTCAGTGGTCAAGCGGTTAAGCGTTTGCGCGCGAAGATTCTGGGTTCTAATCCTGCGTGCGAGCTCGTGGCCACGCACTGCTGCGTATATATATATATATTCTATCGAATATTCTTATTCTGTCATCCGAATGGTATGGAACTGAAGTTTGTTGATAACCATTATTTGTTCACAAATGCCTAGTATTGAAATAGATGAAACATTATAGCATTACTCTATCAATGTTACAGATTGTCTACTACATTTAAATACATCTCTTATTAACGGACACTACATATTCTATCCAGTAATGGCTTATATTTTGTCGCATAACTAATCAACCGGATAGTATTTTTCTTTCGAGAGAGAGAGGGAGAGAGTTAGAAAACCTTGATTCCAAACCAATGGTTTACATGGGGTCCGGAATCATGAGGGAAAAAAATGGCGTGTGAACCTACTGTTGGTCAACTGTTACCATGGAACTTAGCCCCGTAACATTGCTCCGCTGTTTTGTGGATTAGACCTTCAGGTCAAGGGCTCGGTGTGTGACTTCTTAAGAAAACCTGAGCAGTGCTCCAGCCTTGAAAAACAAATGGAATGATGAAGTGTGGTGTATATATATTTGGTGCCTCCTTGTGGTAATGTTCATGTGTTTAAATAAATAATAATACCAAAAAATTATGCTTCATTTTCACCTTAATTTCTTACTCCTAAAATATTCATATACAATAACGCTCATTATTTATAAATTTCATTTTAGTATATCAGTTCATTACGGATTAGTATAAAACAATAGAAAATGTGTACTGTTGTATTGAGGCTAACATTATTATTGATAAATTCCTTAGTTGGAGTAAGTGAACAGTTCTCCTTATTCTATTTCTTATTTTATCCTTAAGTTTTATTATATTTTGTGTATATTGAAGGAAAAAAAGTTTTATTAAAGAAATATTAGAGGATACTTTATTAGAGGAAAAATTAGCATGTATGTAGATGTGAATATTTATCTTTCTGGTCAGTGTTTTTCTAGCCAGTTAGTTTTCTATGGGATGGGGTCATTAACCTCATGCCCAATCCTCCTCGATTATCCGGGCTTGACACCGGCAGTAGCCCCCAGAGGGGCTCCATGAGCAGCGGATCGGCAAAGCAAGAGCAGCACATTTACAACTGAAGAACATCTGGAACTCTAAACAACTGTCAACCAACACCAAAATAAGAATTTTCAATACAAATGTCAACACAGTTCTATTGTATGGGGCGGAAACCTCGAGAACTACGAAAGCCATCATTCAGAAGATATAAGTGTTTATTGACAGTTGTCTACGCAAAATACTTCGCATCCTTTGGTCAGACACTATCAGAAACAACCTATTGTGAGAGAGAACAAATCAAATCTCAGCGGAGGAGGAAATCAGGAAGAACCGCTGGAAGTGGATAGGACACACATTGAGGAAAGCACCCAACTGTGTCACAAGACAAGCCCTCACATGGAATCCTCAAAGCCTAAGGAGGAGGAGAGGAAGATCAAAGAACACATTACTCCGGGAAATGGAGATAGACATGAGTAAAATAAACAAGAATTTAATGGAACTAGAAAAGAAGGCCCAGACCAGAGTGTGTTGGAGAATGCTGGTCGGCAGCCTATGCTCCATTAGGAGTAACAGGAGTAAGTAAGTAAGTAGATGTTAACAAGCTTATACAGTTGACATTTGAATCAACTAAACTTGTTAGCATGTATGTTGCTAAAAAGAAGTCATAGAATACAATGATTTCATTATATTCTGTAATCACTTTGACTAATAAATAGTCAAGTTCCCGTTTTCTGAAGCTATCGTTATCAGGCTATATTAATATGATTTTTATGTTCTAAAGGAGGTAGTTGTTTATCTCTTCTTGTATTGATGACACAATCATGTCTACATTACGTCATAAAATTTTGTTCAACTCTTTCTTTCGCCTAATTACGTTATTGTATCCTTTGATTATAATCATTTTCTAGATTAGTAACTTAATTGTAACTAATGGAGCTTCGCTTACATTATTCTTATTTATTATCAACGTTTTTTATATTACGTAATCATTTGTTTCTAGCCCTTTGATTTTTTGTCATTACCGATGTTGTAGAACGTTCTTTCGTATAAAATATATTTTATTCAGTCTATTAAATTTATTTGAATCTTTGCTGTGTAATCATAGTAACTTCCAAATAAACTGTTTGATACACGCAATATAAGATGTGGCGGCCTGTTTGAACATCTGTGCTACCTGTTCCTGCCATCTAGATATTTCAATAAGTTATCTAATTTTGTTTTAATACATCATTATAGCTATTAATCGTATAACCTATTCAGGTGTGTTTCTGAAAAATGTACAACCTTCGTTAAAATAAAGCCCAATCAAAGATATCGTGGTTGTTGGTAATATGCATTGAAAAGAGTGAACATTAATGAAATGTCGATTCCTGAAGTGCTAACATCTAACTGGCGACCACTTAATATTTATCGTAAGGATCGATCAAGAAATAAGAATCATAGTTTTTTTTTAAAAAATTTATGTATCCTTAATTCCCCTAAGGGTTACCTCTGTTTGTGTCAACCTAATTGTACCAGTAAATTGGTATAGATATGTGTCAACTCATAATTTATTTTCTTTAAAAATACTTAGCTATCAGCATTAATAGTTTCATCGTTTGGTGCAATTTTAACTTGGGGCAGAGATACTATAACAAGAGAATTGGATGATGTAATTGGTCCAATGATTAAGAAAATGTATGGTGATGAAGTAGCGCAAGATTTCACAGATATGGCATCTGGTATCTTACAATTAACAAGTAATGTATACACTCTGTGTTTTATTTTTTCGTTTTTTGGTTTTGTATGAGCTAGACGTTTATAATGATTGAATACTTGAGGTATATGGTCGTCGTCAATTGTTATTAGCGAGATCGGGTGAGACTAATTTACGGACGAGCCAATCAGAAGTGTTTGAGGGATTTCAAGGTCACGGCGCCAACTTCAGTACTTAATGCTAATGTACAATCGGTTCACAGGAAATTTTGTACAAAACATGATAATTGAGCGGCTATAACAAATAAAACGGCGAGACTATAATTTGTGGACGAGTCGATCAGGTATAAGATAACAGGTCTCGGATTTTAACGCGAAAGTCATTCATCCTTTGGCTAAATAAATCTCTGATATTAGAGCTGATGTCAGTTCGTGACGAAAACCCCATATATGATTCCTAACTAAGGCGATTTACGACAATTATCGCGAACCGGATAATTAAAGCACTAGTAACACTGGTTGCGGCCAGGTACTACAATATATACGGATGGGCGTACAGAGAGAGAGAGAGAGAGGCTTGGTTATGTGAATCGTGTCGTTATCCACAAGTGTCATTTTGTGTACTCAACAACCGGAGTGCAAATAAACAATATTGAAGCTATGTGATCGAAGTTGAAAGACTTTTTGAGACTTTATCATGGCTCCAGAGGCCAGCTATTCTGTAGCCATATGGATGAGTTTCTCTACTACGTGCATTACGACTTTAGAACCTCTGAATCTCTTTCTAACCTTGACAAGTTTTTGAACCACGTATAAGAAGTGTATCCACTCTCTTTTGTTGGTTTTGTATGATAAATTTTTACTCTATACTTACTGTTTGCTGATTGGCTAATCTTTCTCAATGTCACCTAAGAGGCGCTCAAAGGTTGTCTATAAATTATAGTCTCACCGCGAGATCGTATTGAAGCATAATATCTAACTTGATAATATAACATTTATATGTTCTTAGTTTACTATGAATAAATCTATAAGGGTTTAGTACTGAAATTCAAACGGGAATATTAAGAATGAGGGAAAAGTAAAATATTTGCTCGTTTGTAAGTTGTTCATTGTTGAATTATTTTCCTTTTAATCCCCTTCGTTATTACTATTTCTAATGTGAACATAGTTGATAGATTTTTACTAATGCTGGGATATTCTCTAGGCCAAAGTGATCTTCAGAGGATGTACATATTTCATATTAAGACTAATCGAAGTTTAGTCAAGAATCTTAACAACAGAATAATCTAGACCATCACAAATTAGATCAAATTCACACTTAGATACACAAGCTAGTATCTATCAGGATTCAATAGCTCAGTGGATAACGCGTTGAGTATTCGGATCGTAATGTGTTACATTAAAGTCCTGGTGTATGCATAAGCACTGGTTTGAAGACAAAATATGATGGAACACGTATCCTGAATTTCAATACTAACCAAAATCCATCTAATCTATATCATTGCTAATATTTATAGTACAATCTGCTGTTAATCGGATAACTACATTTTGGGATAAACTCAGTAGACAAAATAATTGATAAATATGCTTTTTTCAAATATAAATCTATCCATCTTTAAGATGTGAATGTTACAACAAAAGTTGATTTTGAAGCACAAATAGTAAACATTGTAAATGGTTGAAGGGAATTCACTTCGTTTTGTATGCTCTACATCGTTTGACTGTTCACCAGTTTCGTCATTAATTAAAGGGAAACATGTATGAAATAAATATGTTGAATCATGTCCACTGACAAACGAATAAATATTTCTGGTGATTTCACTGAACCCGTTTAATTGGAAAAGTTCTGAATTCTTCGTTGACTGTAAAAGAAAAACTAACAAATAGACATTACACCGTATCATTAAATAATGGTCGATCGTCCTTGAAACTCAGAAATCAATCATTAAAGAGTTTGTGACTTAGGGCTATATCGAAGCAATCCGCACAGGATGCACGTATGCAAACATGAGACTGATCAATTGCACTCCTAAATAACAATGAGAAGGAACAAGTAAAAAAACACCAAGTAAATTCAAACTTCGCCCCATTGCACAAGCAAGTGGCTATCAGAACTCAGTAGCTAAGAGGATAGCGTGATGGCGTTCGAAACGAACGGTACTGGATTCGAGTCCCGGAGTGAACATCAACTCTGAGATGCGGATACATCCAGCTGATGAGTTTCAAGTAGGACGAAACGCGCGTATTAGATTCTGCTGCTAGCCACTATCCATCTTTGCTTAAAACGCTTGTGACTTAAGGCTATATCGAGGCCATCCTCACAGGATGCACATATGCCAACATGAGACTGATTGTAAAGTTTGATCGATAAACGAACTCACCAATGATGAAGTGAAACGCCCACCATCACATTAACTTTCTTTGACTTTGTATAACTATATCTTGTTTATTCACCAATCACAATTTTATGTTCATTATGAAACAATATTTGCCTTGTTGACTCATTTTTCCTATGCTCTAGTTACTGTTCGGTATGTTACTTATGTCTCTATTTTTCCCTGTGTTAATAGACTGTACTGTTTGTTTTGTATACTAACGGTGTTAATTTATGTTTTAGAAACAGATAAAGTTTTTCAAACCAAATAGCTTACTTGTTCTGACTTTGGCTAAACCAAGACTCTGTGCTCGAGAGTCTAGAGGTTAGCTTAGAGTTACACCTGTAGGAAGTTGCTTCCTACACTGATCAATTGCAATTTTAAATAACAATGAGAAGATACAAGTAAAACGACACCAAGTGAATCAATCAATATGTTTTAAAAATTATGGTACGGACGAGCATAAATTATGATGAATCAACTAAAAATAAACGTAGCATGTAGTTTAGCGTATATGGACAGTAATATAAAGTAGTAATATTGTAGCGAACGAGAAGACGAGTGGAAACAATGAATTGTATTTGATATGTCATTACAAATCATCTCAATAAAATCTGGGAGCCATATAGTAAATCGTTAATTTGCAAACTATCAATCCATCGTCTCAAACTTCACTGTTCTTTTTGCAAATATCAGTCTATTGCATCACATTTCATTGTTCATGCATTTTCATACGAAATGCGTTCCGTTTCCGTCCTTTCCTTATCAATCTTCTACTGAAATACATTCTATGCCTGACCACCGCTATATACTACTTATATGGATTAAGTAACCCACACCACAATATCGCTCCTTCATCAAGTACTAATTTATGTGCTAAGTTTTGAGCGAATTTTTTGTGTGCATTCAACGTGGTCACACAACAAAGTTATCTAAAACAATTCAAATGATGAATCGGTAACTAGGCTACCTCCTTATATACATGTACAAATACATGTTATTGACTTACATTCATTTGTTTATTTCTCATATCTTAATGGTTGGTCACCAAAATTATCTGAATTAAAACATACAAACTAACTAATGTTCTTAAAAAACAATTTTTTCACAGATTGTTTTATCAATGAAAATTTGTCTTTCATGATGTTTCCATTTTTTTTTCAAACATTTCCAGGTCCATTCGGTTTCATTTTATTCATATTAGGATTAGTTTCCTTGGCTATTTGTTTATTCGGTTTCTGTGGAGCATGTTGTAAGAGTATTCTTTGCCTTAGAGTGGTATGTTTGAAATTAATTATTTGAAAAAATAATTCTATTGTTTGCAATATGAAAATAATTGAATTCTGACCGAAATTCTTTCAAGCATAAGTCATCATTTCAAATATAGATTATAGAAAACTTTCAGAATTTCAAATCTTACAAAACAATCAAAGCTGGAATCACAAGTAATCAGTTTCATTTAAGTAAACACAAATGATGATCAATAAATACCAGAAGACTGTCTTGGTTTTCAGCAGTTTAGGGTCACTTATGGTGGTACTAGATTAAGCAAATGTTAGTTAAAGTCACTTTTAAAGTCATGAAATCAACAACAAACGGTTAGAGTGAAATAAAAACAAGTTGGAAGTGATCAGCTTAACATGGTAAGATGAATTAAAATAAGAGACAGTTATCCACCTCAAAAAACTGGATGCCAGCCCAACGGTCTAAAGGTAAGTCGTTTGTACATAACATCGAGGGTCTTGGGTTCGAACGCCGCGCGCGTGGTCGTGCTGGGTTGAAACAGCCGTCTAGTGCTTCCAGGTTTTCAGTGGTGTTCCAGCTTAGATTGACTTATGAATTGAACTGTTAAAATATTACAATCCCCACAACTCCCCATACTGAAAAAAATAAGGTGTGAATATGGAAATGTTGTAAAAATCTATTTGTTACTTATTAGTATTGTGGTGAGATTATACAAATTTGGAGGAAATATATTCTGGTGATACATTTTATTGAAAGTTGTAGATAATCGTAGAGAAAAGATGACATACGTTGATCTATGTGAATGTTACTTGAGGTTTAAACTTTCTAAACGAAGTAATTAAAATATGTTTTAACAAATAAACATACAATGTGAAACATCACCATTTATATTTAGTTCATATTTAACGATTGGGACTTGTACTTTCTTTAATCGACATTCTTTTAAAACATTGATGGTTACTACCACTGGTAATTGTAGATTAGGACAATACAGACATTCAGTGCTTTACTGTTATGAATTATTCTTTTGTCTATAGATCTTAATGATGAAAATCGCACTAAGCTAAAACTGTTATGAACGAGAACTTTGATGAAAAAGATCAACTTATCGTTTAATGCAAAATTATAATGTCTTAGTGAAATCTGAAAACCATACATTAAATACTTCATTAGCATATCTTCCATCAGTTGTCTGTTAAAAACGTCATCATTCTTTCATTTCTGTTCTTATTACAAGTACTACCTGTTTACATTTCTGTTCTCTTCAATTCGATCTTCTGAACCTTCAATTGCCAGGCATTCGACTTCTAATTAGTGTTACATACTACTTATATCTGTCAACATAAGTACCATACACCACATAACTAACCAACCGCACAGATACGAAATGTGTAACTAAATACATCTAATATTTCAACAACTTACTTGAATTAGACAGTAAGAAGAAAGAATCATTTTAATCAAAGAGGGGCTTTGTGGAGATTGTAGTAATATAACAAATAAATTCATGAGTTAACTGAAGCTAGATAACCATGGAAAACCTGGGAGCACTGGACAGCCGTTTCATCCTAGCATGGGACTCCTCAGCAGTGCGCACCGGCGATTCCGTCCCGTTTCGCGTGCGAATGCATAACCTCTAGATCACTGAGCCAACATACAACGGTGTTAATGTCTAACACTAACCAATTTACAGAATTGCGCCACAGTCCACCATTGTCATCAGTGAGTTACTACCTTATAACAGATCCGATTGAGCTCCACTGGTCACGGCCTCTCACTATATAATTATCTACTTCATTTTAAGCCAAACACTTTTATCGCTAAATGTAATATTAGTTCAATATTTTACTTATTATTTAGTGAATGACAAATTAGACGATGATACTTATATTTTTAGTTGTAAGACTTAAATCCAGTCATAACATGCGGTAAGTGATTAAGTGAAGTAATTGGATATGTTAATCCATTAATATTTCATATGAGTTGTCAATTGTTATCAATAAACTTCTATTTAGAATAAAGTTATGAGCTACAATAATCATTACAGGTAAAGTGGTAAGTTAGTATAAAGCCAGAACGAACATTGATGCAGAATAATATGAATTCATTATATTTCGTGGTTATTTGGTGTTAGAATTAAAGGAATATTGGGGATGGATGATTTAATAGTTGAGTGAAGTTTAGGGACATAAGATAAATTATGTGAAAATTTGAGAGGTAATGAAGGGTTTACATACGATTCATGGAATTATTACCCTGGTAATTCAATTTTTTTAGTCATTAGTTTTATTTTGTCATATTTCTCTTCCATCACCGAATTCTCAAACCACCCCTTCACTCATACATTTCCACTCACTTGAGTCTCTTAAACTAAGTGAACCCTTCAAGTTCTATTCAATTATTACGTAACCCATCTTACCAGTTTTTTCAATTCTATTAATCTTATGTAAACCCTTCATTACCTCTCAAATTTTCACATACTTCATCTTATGTCCCTAAACTTCACTCAACCATTACATCACCCATCCTTAATGTTTATTTAATTCTAACACTAAATAACCACGAAATATAATGAATTGATATTACGTTTTTGATTGAGATCATGTACCAATTGATGTTAGACACTAACATTATTGGATTCCGGTTCAGTGGTCCAGTAAGTTAGGTGTTCGCGCGCGAGACTGAGTTCGAATCCCATGAGCGGGACCGTGGATGCGCGCTGCTGAGGTGTCCCACAATAGGACGAAGCGGCCGTCTAGTGCTTCCAAGTTTTCAATGGTGATCTAACATCAATTGGTTCATGATCTCAATCAAAAAGTTAATAATCTCCACAAACTTTATATTGGGAATTCATATTATTCTGCATCAATGTTTGTTCTGGCTTTATTTAAATTCATAAAGGGAATCAATTATATTAAACCTTTAAGTGTATATAAAGAGAGTGTATGGAAAAACATTAAGTACCATTGTGTTAAATAGACTCTTTCTTGAAAAAAGAGTAATACAGTAAAAATGGATTATCATTCAATTAAATTGTAGTGTTCAGCTAGAAATCGGATTCGGAGTTATTTCATGACATATAAGAAGTGAACTGACGGTAAATTTACAATTTATAAGAGCCTGTCTAATGGTATTTTCATTGTCTATGTGTTCGACTTTCTGATCTGGATGATCTAATCATGAAATTTTCATCTTCTTTCTGGACAACGTAATCGGTAGAATTGAATTAATTCATATACTATGAATTTAATGTTAAAAAGGAATGGCTAAAGATGTTTTCCTTCAGAAAACTCTATTTCCACGCATTTTAAGTATAGTTCAAGCTGTTCATTAAATACCCTTCGTTAATAAGAGCTTTACTAATTTGAAAAGTTTCTCTTGGAAAATACATTGATAAATAACATTTTAATTACTTTAACTATTGAACAAATTGACAATAACTGCAAAAATTATTGGAAACTAATAAAGTACTGTGTAGCTCTATCTGACTAGAAACTTCTCAAGTTCATACATTACCATATACATGTAATCCAACTCCGGACTGAATAACTGTTATAACTTGTGGCCTGTGTGCCCTGTTAATGTAAACATAATGCTACTGCCAATTAGAGAGCAGGGAATTATAGATCGAACCAACGACGCATAAAACCCGTAAGAGCAGTCTAGAGTCCTTATTGGTCCTGCTTCGTGCCTATCCCAGCCAGTTAAGTCCAGAACAATAATCTCAGCCTCTGCAATATGAATCATTTATTTCAAGCATACAGGGTTTATATACCAACCAGATAGACCACACCATACCATACAATATGAAATAACATTTGTACAAGATTTAGCTAAATGTGGCTGTGAATAAGGGAGGTATTAATAAGCAGACAGGTTAGATGATGGTTGGAGATAGTCGACAGGAAACCCTGGACCCGGGTTTCGTGCTACTTGGCACTCGTCAGCAAGGTGTATTTGTAATCTTGAGGGAACTGGTGCTCCCTGGCGGATTCGATCTCGTGTCACCGAGCTTCACAATCAGAGACATTACCACTGAGCTATCTGGGCCGCGACCGACCTCCTGTAAGACTGAGATGTAATCACTATTGATTGGGTGTCTAGTCCTTATTAGTGCAGATCGAATGCTATCGACCATGTTGCAATGTGGCCACCAGCGTAGGTGACTCGACATCGCGTGCACTATTGTGAGATTAGATGGTGGTTGGAGGTAGTCGACAGGGTACCCTGGACCCGGGTTTCATGTTACTTGACACTCGTCAGCAAGGTGTACTTGTAATCCTGAAGGAACTGGTTCTCCCAGGGCATAATTCAAGAATGGTAAGTCGCATAACAATAGTTCAAAATAAATAGGTCGAAATAAAGCCCATAATATGAGGAACACGAATATGAATAGTTTAGTTATTTGCCAATTATACGATAAAAATATACGTATAGTATTGGTACACAAATGGATCCCAAAAGTTACCATTCCTTATGCTTATCAGGACATGAAAATAACTCATACATTTAACAATGTCAATGAATCATGGTTCAGTAGACAACATGTTTTTTCACCTTTCAATTTATGTTAGTGCACACTCGTCAATCAATGTTATAATTAATCGATTTTGATCATGGTTAAACCCTTTTATTAACTTACTTAACAGATAATGTTATTCGAACAGTAACAATTTGCATATCTCTTTGTACTATAATGATCAGTATCATATCTGTATAAACGTGTACGCTTGATCACATGACAGACTCTAGCTAAAATGTTGATGGCTTAAATATCACTCGATGTTTCAGCCTCTTCCTCATGTATATATGTACTCGAATCCCATTATTAGCCTTTCCTTTGCCTTGCTGTGCCATTATGCGATTCGGCTATAAATTCGCCTCTGTGCTTCATATTCGCTTGATTTGTTTGTAGCTTTGTTATCCGCTAATAAACTGTAGTTGCCTCTTCTTATTGCCTTCTGATTTTAAACACCAGATTTATATAATAATGGTTATCGTGGTGGTCGATTAACGAAGCTAAGCCACTACAGACTTCAGATGTAATTGACCATGCAGATCACAAATTGTCTAACAAATAAAATATCCAAGATCCCATTCTTGAAATATTCACAAAAGATTGATCTTAAAACTTTCATTAAAAATATGCTTATTCAAATCCGAATATTTTAATAAAAGATAATTATGTTTTTTTATTTTATAGTACATTGGGTTACTTTTGGTACTGGTCATTATTGAGACTACTGCAATGAGTTTTTATTACACCGATCGTGAATCAGTAAGTTCAACTTTACTTAATGTTCATTCATTAAACTAATGCGAAATAATTAAATACTTTAAGCATATCTAGAAAGACAAACTGATTATATCTTTGTATTTTATATGGAAAACAATAAGCAAATTCAGTCCTGAATATCAAGAACTAGGAAATACAATCTTCTAGTTAATATTAAGTCATCTATACAAATAATACCTGACATAATTAGGTAGCTGAGAAAGCAACACCCTAGTGTTTATTGATATAGTAGAATTTAATGTCAGTTTTATTATAAAACATTGGCATTGTGAATTCACTTATGTCCACTTAATCAGACATAAAACACATTATCCCTAATGACACTAATTAACAGAATGATACATTTAGTCTGAATTTAGTACTGATGCAACTATAACTTCAAAATCATTTATCAGTAAAGAGACTTCTCTAAACTTGCTTTCATTAGATACTAGTTTTGATGATATTCTGTGATCGAATTTAAGAAAAACAAGCGTTTTCAAGTAAAATAGCTCGCGTGGTATAACTCTTAATGAATCAACTGACCAAATAAGCTCCATTGAAATCATGAATTGATAAACATTCCAACATCGTTGAAAACCTGGAAGCACTAGATAGCCGTCTCGTTCTAATATGTCACTCAGAAGTGAGCATCCACAAAACATCACCAAAGGTAATCAAACCCAGGATCATCATTCTTGCGCTCGAACGCTTATTTTGTAGACCACTGAGTCGGGATACAACAGCCTTAATGTCTAACTTCAATTAGCTCATGATATTGATCGACCATATTTAGTGAGTAACTGCCTACCACCCGACACGGATTAGAGTTCACTGGTCACGGCTTCATGATGGAGTGCCATACTAGGACGAAACGGCCAAAATTCGAGACCTGTTATTTTATATGTGATTGGTTCGTCCATAAATTATAGTCTCGCCATTAATACATTTTTCTTAACAACTTAAAATTATTTTATATTTCTACTTTATGAAATTAGATATTCAAGTTAGCTAGAAAAATTGCTCATAACTCTCTGAGAAATTATCATTCAATTGGTTCTAATAATACTGATAGTATAATATATTCAGTTATTATGCCAACTGTAAGTTTCTACTAATACTAAATGTATATTTGGTTTTAATGTAAATAGTCTACTGAAAATACGACTTGAAAGGTTTGGACTGCTAAACTTCAATTAGTTGTAGTAATCTACTTCTATTATGTAAGCAGTTTCTAGTTCAGTTTATAAACTTTATAAATATATACATGATAATAGATATTTTATTAGTTGAGATCATGAGTCAAGTGAAGTTAGACCACCATGGAAAACCTGGAAGCATTGGACGGTCGTTTCGTCCCATTGTGGGATTCCTCAGCAATGCGCATCCACGATCTCGCCTCGCGAGATTCGAACCTAGGACATATCAGTCTCTCAAGCGAGTGCTTAACCTCGAGACCACTGAGTCGGTCGACATCCAACGGTGTTAATGTCTAACTTCAGCTAATTCACAAAATTGAGCGACATACCCACCATTATCTTCAATTGAATCATCTCAACTAAGAACTGCTATAATATCCACAAAACCCCTTCTGATAATAATAGACATTTGTCAAGTAGACTTTTATAATCTATTGTCTACCGAAATATCATTGGTATTGGTTTTGTAAACAAATACATACTTAACCACCATTTATTGTTATTACTTCTCTCAATGTATGCGGGTCCATGCAAATATAAGTAGATCGGTAAACATTATGGGATTTGATAAGATCATTTATTCATTGTTTGAAATTTCGGTGATGCATAAACTTCATTTTTTCTAATACATCGGCCGTTGCTGAGAGGTAAGTTCTGTTAACCGTCAAACCAACCATTCAGCTCAACATAAAGCTGTTGCGATTGAAGTCATAAAAACCAATGGGAAGATTCAAATAACCAATACATATGATTCAAAATTCACCTCATTACACAAGGCAATGATTATCTGGACTCATTAGCTAGGTGGATGACTTAATGATGTTTGAAGTAAACAGTACCATGTTCAAGTCTAATAATAAACATCAATTCTGAGATGCAACTACATCCAACTGACAACTCCTAAATAGAACCAAATAAATGTCCTGGATTCTATAGCTAGTCACCAACCATCTTTGCTTAAAAAGCATATTAGTTAAGACAGTTTATCAAGAAATAACCATGACAAAATGAAATTCATATTGAAGGTACTCATGTAATGAACGAGAACACAAGTGGGGACAACCAAATGTATGTGAATACAAAATTACAGAATCTCTTAGTAAAATCTGAGAACCATACAATAAATACTTCATTTGTAAAATGCCAATCAATCGTCTGTGATTTGATTGTTTTTTCATTTCTACACCAATCATTTTTTGTTCTCATACTCTTTTCTTTAGTCTTCTTAACCTTCTACTGTCAGCTATTTCACTCTCAATTGATGATACATACTACTTATATCTATCGACATCAGTAGCACACAACGCACTCACTCTTAACTTTAAACTGATTTTATTCAGTGCATAAAAATGATGAAAAATCTTCAAGAAATTGTAATAGTGATGGGAAGTGAAAGATAGATAGACGGATAAGTAGTTTATCAGTAGTCATTTTTATGAATTGATTTGTAAAAAGAAACAGTATAAACATTACTCCAATTGATGTAATCAATCAACCTTGTAATTATGATTCAATTATTCTACCAGTATTTAATGTAGTTTTAAATAGCATAGAATGTAATCTTTTACAATCTTATTCCAGCTAAATTGTTGTGGATTATTGAATGGATCTGATTTTGATGATTCACCTAATTTTCAAAGAAAAGTACTTTTTAATGAACAAAATTTCGGTATGTTCATAATTAATGGTCTATAATATCAAATCAAAAATTTCTAGAAAACATATGTTACATAAGATTTGTGGTTATATTTAAAATAAACATCTAGTGAATAAACGCTCGCTCACGAGACTGGTAGATCTTGGGTCCGAATCTCGCGAGGCGGGATCTTGGATGCACACTGCTAGTTAGGAGTCCCACAATAGAACGAAACGGCCGTCCAGTGCTTCCAGGTTTTTCATGGTTGTCTAGCTTCAATTGACTCATAATCTCAACCATTGAAATAAACGTTCGTTTAATACATTGATTTTCAAACGATGGAATTGAGTTGTTCAACAAAGTCTTTATAATGATGGCTGTAAGCTGAATTTCATGTTAGGATGGTGGAGATTTGTAGTTCATATGAATGAGTTTGACGGAGTTTTGTTCTCTAAGTTGTACGGTTTGGTCATGAAGCTTTCATCATTTTTGTGAACAACATCATCAGCGTAAACTTCAAGTATAAGTTAAGTATCCCAATTTTTATGTAGATTTCTTTTGAGAAAAAATTATCCTTGACTGATTATTTTTGCATTTAGGGTTGAAAGTCACTATTGAATGGCATAGAAGTTATTTCACATTCTGAATGATTCTTACCAAGTATCAGTAAATGATGTCAAAGACAAATAATCTTGAATGCACGTTTCATCCTGTTTTGAACTCATCCATCAGTTAGTGTGCTTTCACCTTTTTGGTGATATTTATAATGCACCCGGGATTCAGTAAATATTTCTTCAAACTTCATACTGTTATCTACTAGACTACTGGGTTATGATAGTCAAGATTATTATAAATTCATGATTGTCCACTTTTGTGATTATTGCTCACTAACAAGGGGTTCGTTTAAGTGGTCTGTATACAAAGGTAGATTAATTACTACATGACCTACTGTAAATGACAGTTTTATGCAAACCCTAACTAACATGATGATTTGAAATGTTCCTAAATGATGGGATTTCGTTTCACAAGCAGTATGATGTATGTCAGAGTCTAACGGCTCAATTGTGGCTAAAATCCGGGAGTTCAATCAATAAAGTCATAGAGTCAACATTGTATAGCGTTACGAGTGTGTAACATTGGGAAATAGTAAACTAGGACACCTAGTTATCAATGGCCTTCCAGCCTATGTGAGTTTATGCAGAAAATTCCCTTCAAACTATTAGAAAATTTCCGGTAAACTGCTAATATGACACCATTAAAATATTTTAATACCCTGTACGTTAATTTTAGATTTCAAATAATAAAATATTCCAAATGTTATGAATACATATTTTGATAATAAATAACTACCCAAAATTGTTAACTAAGAGCGATAAATATAAAAACAATAAATTGTGTCATGATGAAATGTCGCTAGCAATCGAATCCAGGACGTGCGTGTCGTCTTATTTGGGATTGGTCAGCTAGATGTACCTGCACGATGGAGTTGATGTTCACCCTAGGACTCAAACTCAGTACCGTTTGCTTCAAATGCCATCGCGTTATCCATTTACAGGAAGATTGAAACAAACAATACAAAATGAATAAATTGTGTTCTCTGAATTATTCAGTAAAGCAATTTGCTATGCAAACTCTCAGTCTTATATTCATATAGCTTCATATTGAAACTGTAAGGAAGAAATAAATATTTTTAGAAATTAACTGTTTGATATAATTTCTTTTTGACAATAATAGATTTGAAATATCCTATTCCCTGTTGTAAAATGGATGCTAAATTTGTCGTTCTCGATCCGACATGTCCGGGAGAATTTAACATTAAGAATTCAAATATTCATGAAGGTTGTTGGGTGAAACTACGACAGATAATTGGCTTCTATGGTGGAATGATTGTGATTTGTGGATTAGTTGTAATTTTATTCCAAGTAAGTATATAATTGTATGATAAACAAGATAAGGCATTTTAATCACCATGTTAAACTGTAGTTATAATAAGAATTATGGATTAGTGATAAGTTGTTCAGTGATATTAATTATGTCTTTTATCTAATTTAGAAACTGTGATTTCTCGAATCTCAAACGTTTTCTGCCCTCTCATTGAGATTTCAACAAGTTGCTACTTTGTCCTTTCGATTGAACTTTGACGAAGTGGCATAGTAGAGAGTAAACAATTAGGTAATTAGTATTTTTGTATAAAAAAATTTTCATTATGAACTGAAATCATTTGGAGAAGCATTTATAAACGCAGAGAAGTGGAGAGTTATTCCACTATAAGATGGTGGTTGGAGGAAGTCAACTGGAAACCCTGGGTCTAAGTTTCGTGCTAACTGACACTCGTCAGCAAGGTTCACCAGTGATCTTGAAGGAACTGACGCTCCCTAACGGATTCGATCCCGTGTCACCCAAGTTCACAGTCAGAGACGGATAGCTCAGTGGTAACGTTGTTGACTGCCTCCAACCACCATCTTATCACAACATAGTGACGCAATATCGAGTCACCTAGACTAGTGACCACATTGCAACTTGGTCTATAGTATTCGATGTGCAATAAGAAGGACCTGACATACATGACATTGATCACCACCCAGTGATCAACCAATTGTAAAGCTATTTCACTAGTTCAATAATCCTGAATAGTGAACAATGATAAATTTGGATGACATCAAAATCAAATCATTTCATTCTTCAAATAAATACCATATCAGTCAATGGGAATACGATATTTTACTATTGAAGACTTTGATTAACTTGTGGTTCATACTTCCTCTATCAGTTATTGTCATCAATGAGCGTCTATCTTACCTTCGATTAGATCGACTACTACCTAAAATTTCAACCTATTAGTTATTGAGCACGTAATTTATGAACACATAAAAATATCATCTATATGTGACAACAAGTGAACTGGCTGAAAGTCTTTAGTGATAAATGTATCGCCTTATTAAAATACATAGAATATTCATCTTAGTGCGATTTAGTTAAAACTGTGAGATACAAACGAAAATCAAAATTGTTATTTTTATGGTGCATCACATTTGAGTAGTGGAAATAATAATAATAATAATAATAATAATAATAATAATAATAATAATAAAAAACTTTTAATCGTTTAAATTCGTAAGAATATCTGAGAAGCTAATAGTCGTGAAAACATAATGAAATAGGTTATAATGTTTAGTCATATCTTGTTAATAATACCAATGCACGGTTGTGTAAAATCTACAATGTATAGACAATTACGGCGATCAAACTTCATCTTAAAGTTCTTACTGTTTTAAAGATTTCAAAACAAAGAAATATTGGTAGATTATAAATTATTTGATAAAAAAAGTATCTAGAGATCAGCATTTCTGTTAGCAGAAAGATCATAGTCGATTGAATAGTCCTGGATCGAACTCCTAACCACATTCCTTTAGTTTTAATCAAGTAAGAATATGTTCTCTTATAAGTGTAGAAAGTGAATCCTAGATATTGATAAAGTTCGTTAGTTCTCAAGAGTAAGTTTACTGATTGCTGCACGTTGAAATGATCAAGCGAGGGATTTTCCATCCTTGCAGATAACACTTTTTATTAAGACTATAATTTATGGATAACATTTGAGCAACACCTTAGTGACCTTGAGAATGTTCACCTACTGACTAAAGCTAAATGAAGAATTTAAATCATTGTGAAGGATAAAGATTGTGATTTACAATTGATAGTCAGAGATAGAGATTAGATTTAGGGTTTTTATCATGAACTGACATCAGCTAAAGTGTCAAGACGCTATTTAGCCAAATGGATGAATGAATTTCGTGCCGAAACCCAAGACCTGTTATCATAAATCTGACTGGTTCGTCCATAAATTATAGTCTCGCTGGGAAGTTCATAGTTTATAATAAATAAAATATGTTCATTTGTATGTTGTTCATTGCATATCATGATAATGAAATAATTGAATAATGAAAATCATTGATAAGAAATGCCAAACATTCTTCTGGTCAGTCAGTATTTGTGTTAATGGTAGTAGTAGTAGTAGTAGTAGTAATAGTAGTACTATTAGTATCAATAATAATAATAATAAGTCTAGTTTCCCCTGCCTTCGTTCACCGCAAATTATGTATTATTCTTCACCCACTGTGAATATAGATCATTTCTGATTGTTGAAACAAGCAAGTTGTTTTGATGAACTTTATTTTTTTTTGGGGGGGGAGGTGAAGGACATTTTCACATAGTTACTTACTTAGTTATTTACTTGTTAAACATTTAAAACAAAAGAATCATATTTTTAATCAAAGGTCATTATTACAGACTAGTAAATAAGAAAATATAGGTCATGGGTGGACACTATTGAAGAGTGTCATACTGAAATGAAACAGCATCTAATACATCAATTGTTATTGTCGTTTTCCTGTGGCTGTTGTATTATTATAAAATTATTCCTTATGGTATCTGTTAATGAATTCTGACATTATAGTTTGTGTTTTAATGCAATAATAAACATTTGAAAGTTCAAAATCGGAAAAAATATCCAGAAACACTATGCATTTAAGTGACTGAGTTGAAAAGTTACACATATTCAAGTGTTCGAATTTCTTCTATCTGAAGCTCAGAGAACAAAACTCCATCAAAATCATCCACGTGAGCTACAAATCTTCTTCACCATCACAAAATTAACTGATAGTGGGAAAACAATTAACAACAGCCGAACACGAACAGAGAAAGTCCAAGCACAAGCTGAATACATATAAGTAAACAAGCAAGTGAAGAAAAGCATTAGAGCTGACAAGAAGAAATACGTGGAAAAACTCGCAACGACGGTGGAAAAAACTGCAAGGGAAAGAAATATGAAACAACTTTACGATACAATGAAGAAACTAGCAGGGAAATACAGTAAACCAGAGAGACCGGCCAAGGACAAAGAAGACAGGCCAATCACTGAAATTCAACAACAGTGGAACAGATGGGTGGAGTACTTAGAGGAACTCATGAATAGGCCGGCTCCAACGAATCCACCGAACATCGAAGCAGCACACACAGATCTTCCTATAGATGCCAATCCACCAACTACGGAAGAAATCAGAATGGCCATCAGACAAATCAAGAGCGGAAAGGCAGCAGGACCAGACAATATACCAGCTGAAGCACTGTAGTCAGACATCGAAGTAACTACAAACATGCTTTACCTTCAATTCAAAAAGATTTGGGAAGAGGAACAAGTGCCGATGGACTGGAAAGAAGGACACCTCATCAAGATTCCAAAGAAAGGAGATCTGAGCAAATGTGAAAACTACAGAGGCATTACACTAATGTCAATACCAGGAAAAGTCTTTAACAGAGCTTTGCTGAACCGGATGAAAGATGCAGTAGACGCCCGACTTCGAGATCAGCAAGCTGGACTACAGTGCAAGGTCGTGCATAGAGGACAGCTGACAGATGCATTCCAAGTAAGGACCAGAGTCTGACAAGGCTGTCTACTCTCTCCCTTCCTCTTTCTTCTGGTGGTTGACTGGATTATGAAGACCTCGACATCTGAGGGAAAACACGGCATACAATGAACAGCTCAGAACCAATTAGACGATTTGGATTTCGCAGATGACCTAGCTCTCCTATAGCATACACATGAACAAATGCAGATGAAGACAGCCAGTGTAGCAGCAGTCTCTGCATCAGTAGGCCTCAAAATACACAAGGGGAAAACCGAGGTCCTCAAATTCAAAGCGGAGAACAGCAATCCAATCACACTTGATGGCGAAACTCTGGAAGATGTAGAGTCCTTCACATACCTGAAAAGCATCATCGATGAACAAGGAGGATCACATGCAGATGTAAAGGCGAGGATTGGAAAAGCAAGGGTCGCATTCCTACAACTGAAGAACATATGGAACTCAAAACAACTTTCAACCAATATCAAAGTGAGAATCTTCAATACGAATGTCAAGGCAGTTCTACTGTACGGAGCTGAAACTTGGAGAACTACAACAACCATCATCAAGAAGATACAAGTATTTATAAATGGTTGTCTAAGCATGATACTTAACATCCATTGGCCGGAGACCATCAGTAAAACCATGCTGTGGGAGACAACAAACCAGCTCTTAGCTGAAGAAGAAATTAGGAAAAGACGATGGAAATGGATAAGACATAAACTACGCAAATCGTCAAACTGCATCACGAGGTAAGCCCTAACTTGGAATCCTGAAGGGAAACGGAAAAGTGGAAGACCAAAGAACACATTATGTCGGGAAATAGAGCCAGATATGTGAAGGATGAATAAGAACTGGAAGGAGCTGGAAAAGATTGCCCAGGACAGGGTTGGATGGAGAATGCTGGTGAGTGGCCTATGTTCCTTCACGAGGAGTAACAGGCGTAAGTATGTAAGTAAGGGAAAACATCGACACATACACATATAGAATAAATCTGAAATCATTGTCGTTTATTATATGTGTATTACTTTTTATCTTCTTAATATGAAAACTTATGTAATTTACTTACAAGATTACATAGAAATTTATGTGTAATAATTTGTTTATCAGAATATATACATAGCAAACCGCCTACTGAATATTTGAAATTCAATAAGGAAAATGTAGAAAATTAGTTCAGCATTCCATTTTTGGATGCTCAATTATTGTTCAATAGTCAAAATAGTCCGTTGTGTTTTGGATTATCTTTTAGAAATAGTTTCATTTTCAGCTCTTTAAAACAATAAATTAATTCTGAGCATAAGATTGTAGAGAATGTTGAGTTTTTATCAAGATTATGAACTGATCAGTGTTAGACTACCATTGAAAACCTGGAATCACTGGACAGTCGTTTCGTATCAGTGGAGAACTTCATTGTAACGTGCATCCATAATCCCTCACCAAGACTAATCAAACCCAGGATCTTCATTCTTGCACAAGAACGCTTAACCTGTAGACTACAGTGTCGACATCTAACGTTGTCGACGTCTAGCTTCAAGTTGGACATTGAGTTAGAGCGCCGACTCCGCAGTCTACAAGTTAAGCGTTCGCGCTCAAGAATGAAAGTCCTGGGTTCGATTACTTTTGATGAGGTTTTGTGGATGCTCACTTCTGAGGAGTGCCATACTAGGAAGAGACAGCCATCCAGTGCGTTCAGGTTGTCAATAGTGGTCTGACATTGGTCAGTTCTTGATTTCAATAAATCTTCACTTTCATAAAAATGAGACAAATATGAATTTGTTTTGCATTTTATGACTGTTGTAACTGTGCAATAAACTAATAAAGCTTAATTCATAAAAGAAGGTAAAGACTACATTGTAGTACTGTGCATTAATTAATCAATAACTTAATGTATAAATACAACTTGTACTGCTATAATTTCAAACTGATATGATCAACATATGTAACTAATTTACTGAGTAATATATTAAATTATTTATAACAATTGTGCGATTCACGATGATATGATTATTAGCTTACCGGTTGTATACCATGTTCTTCAGTTACTTACATCATATAGACGGAAAGTAATCTTTACGGCTATCATTTGTATCATATCAATTAGTATTATATACCTAAAAATTGCGTTTATAATTGATGGATAAATGTGTAGTAACCAATGTTATCTAGTTATTTACCTAGTTACCTAGTCATCTGATTCTGTCGATCAAGAATTAGACAAACGTAGTATTTTTTACTGCTTAATGATTAATCATTTGTAAATATCTCAATTTAAGAGGAGGCTAATCACAACCAGGACAGCTAAGTAATAACAACTCAGATCGTAAATCTCTGTTAGACGGTCATGAATCCTAAAAGAGAAATTAGTTCCCTGAAGATTATAGGGGTTCATTGCTGAAAAGTTCCAACGACAACAAAACTGAGGTCATGTAGAATTTCCTACTGACTGTTTTCAATAGTTGATTCTTACTATTATGATTATCGACACCCTACATTTTCCCTCATTGGAAGGCTAACCTTTATATAGAATTTATTCATTAGATATCTTTTCATATTATACTAGCATATTCCATAAATATTGTACTTTAAGCTATGCGTGTTCATATAATTCTTCACAGAAGTTTTCTTCTGTCGTTCTCTTTTCTTTTTAGCTTCTATTGATTATCGGAACAACAGTGATACTAACCACTGGATATCCTTAAAAGAGTCAAGGAAGTATCGATCATTACATTATTCAAACATGTAACGAGAAAAAGAAGAGTGTACTTGTATAATTCAACTATTGACAGTATTTGTTACTTTCTTAAGAAAAAAAGGGTAAATATTTCCGAAATTTTAGACCATCATGAAAAGCAATAGTTTCAGCTGACTTCTTTATTGATTGCCTAAAAAAACCCATTTCAATTCAATTTACAGTCTTTAAATGTTATTTTATCTTAAAAGAAGATGTCTGTCAAGTAAATGCTTGCCAAAATAAACAACATTCCTTATAATTAAACAATTACAAAACACAATAATCTCCAGTATGATTTGAAATCATTTGTAGTACATCATTAGATAACAATGAAACACTAAATAATTGTTTCTATTCCGTTTCGTGAAACTTATAACTGAAAACTGGAATGACTGTAAAACATTTATGTAGAAGAAATTTCACCGATTGAAATCATGAATCAATTGAAGCTAGACCACCATGGAAAACCCGAAAGCATTGGACGGCCGTTTCGTCCTATTGTGTGACTCCTCGACAGTGCGCATCCACGATCCCGCACCCCGCGAGATTCGAACACAGGACCTATCAGTCTCGCGCCAAATGCTTAACCAACTAGACCACTGAGCCGGAACCCAACGTTGTTAATGTCTAACTTCAACCAATCCACAGAGTTGCGCCACCGTACACCATTGTCTTCAGTGAGTTCCTATCTCACAACAGACCTATTTGAACTCCACTGGTAACGGCTTCCCACTAGAACTCCAGGAGTATCTCTTGAAGTTAGTCACTAGTGAAATTATTAGTGAAACTATAATTTATGGATGCCAAATGACTTTGGAATGTCCACCTACTTACTACAGTTAAAAGAGAATTATAGACTAATGTGAGGAATTAGAACTAGAATTTACAGTTGAACGTTAGGTTTAGGAATTAGAGTTAGAGCATTCATCACCGAAATGACATCAGCTATAATGTCAAAATGATATTTATTCAAATGAGTGAATGAATTACGCGCCAAAATTCATGACCTGTTATCTTAAATCTGATTGGTTCGTTCATATTCAGGTAACAAAATAGATCAGAATATCAATAAATTTTGTTTGTTGAAATAGAAAAAAAGATTTTATTTATTTGAAAATATTAAGATCTGAATTTAGAGTAAAAATAAATAGACTTTTCTTTGTTAATCAATCACCTTGATAACCGTTATAATATAAATCTCAACGGTGATTGAAATCAGAAGGCAATAAAACGAGGCAACTACAGTTTATTAGCGGATAGTACAATTCACAAAGCTACAAGCATATCAAGCGAATTTGAAGCAGTGAGGCGATTGTGTGTGTGTGAGCAAATACAGAGTCAAATTTATAGCCAAATCTCATAAGGGCATAGCAAGTCAAAGCAAAGACTAATAATAGGATTTGAGTACATATATACATGGGGAAGAGATTGATTCATCGATCGTTATTTAAGCTAGAGAGATCAAGCGTACACGTTTATACAGACAACATAGTGATCAAAATAGTACAAAGAAATATGCGTATTGTTTCTGTTCGAATAACATTGTCTATTAAGTAAGTTAATAGGGCTTAATAAAATTTAACCATAATCGAAGTTGATTGTAGGAGAGTTGCGATAACGTGACCAAAACAAATTAAAGCAAAAAAAATCAACAAAATAGTATGGCCAATTATCTTACATAGTATTTATAAATTCTAAAGATGTTTAGCTACAATCTATACTTTCTTCTGTAATTAACTTAATCTCATATCATGAGTCATTTGAAGGTAGACCACCATTGAAAACCTGGAAGCACTGAACGGTCGTTTCGTCCTCTTGTGGGAATCCTCAGCACTGCGCATCCACGACCCATCTGATATTCATTTCATATGTTGACATCCATTAGAAATGTAATAGGCAGCAAGACGTTTCATTTTAAATTTCAAATTATTTAATCGTTTGCTTATTCAATGTGATAATTAATTAAGTAGTATATGAACTTCAGTCCTTAAGCTTAGTTCGATACCACTAAATCAATAGATTGAGAATTAGTTAGTTAATTACCTAGTAGTGATATTTGTTAAGGATAATGGTATACTTCGGAAGTGCGCATCCACGATCCCGCCTCACGAGATTCGAATCTAGGATCTACCGGTCTCGCGCGTGAACGAAACGACCGTTCAGTGCTTCCATGTTTTTCATGATGGTCTAGCTTCAATTGACTCATGATCTTAACTATTGAAATGACTATAAAATCCACAAAAGCCCCTTCTGATACTTATTATGATATACTTTAATTTTAATTTTTGCTTAGTGATTCAGTAATTTATAACACATACTTACTCCTCTTACTCCTCGTGAGGGAGCATAGGCCGCTCACCAGCATTCTCCATCCAACCCTGTCCTGAGCAATCCTTTCCAGCTTTTCCCAGTTGTTATTCATCCTTTTCATATCTGCTTCTATTTCCCGACGTAATGTGTTCCTTGGCCACCATCTTTTTCACTTCCCTTCAGGATTCCAAGTTAGGGTTTGCCTCGTGATGCAGTTTGACGATTTGCGTAGTTTGTCTTATCCATTTCCATCGTCTTTTCTTGATTTCCTCTTCAGCTGGATGGTGGTTTGTTCCAGCATAGTGATAAGTAAATGTTATTGATTTGGGTAGTGATAAACATTTCAAATATAAGTCAAAATTATGTTCTTGTTCAAAATTATTTTATACATTAGAAAGACAAATTTTTTAAATTAGCCATCTGAGATTAGAATTCAATGGCATAGATACAAATGATACAATAATCAATATGCCAAGAACTAGTCTTGTATATTATCCCCCCACCCCCCAAAAAAGTAATTAGTTGTATATATTTGATTAGGAAGTAATTAATTATATACGTGATCCATCAAAAACATTGACAATAACATCATTATAGTAATTTAGATTGAACTAAATATAGGACATACTTCTCAGTTGACTGTACCTGTTTTTGTTTCGTTTTAATTTTGTTTACTTTAATAGAAATAAAAAAAACAGGGATAGTGAAATTAGTCATATTTTTAGTTACTAGTTGACAAGTGTCTCATAATATGTATAAATAGTTGAATAATCTCAATAGTTAAATTATTTATCTACCGCTTATTCAAGCAGTAAACCGATAGAAATAATTTACGTAATAGATTGAAATGACGATTCATTAAGGTATTATCCTTGTTAATATGGAGGGCTTATGGAGATTGTTGGATTTTATAGGTGATTCTTATAGATTGATACTAAGTAATGAACCACTGTAAATCAGATATCACTAGACTGTTGCTTTGTTTTAGTATTGAACACCTAGCCCCTAAATACCCTGGTAACATCGAGAGTAGGGAGAGTAAGCTCTCCCTTTCCAAATACTCTCACATGGCCACGCGCATACAACCACTGAAAGGGTAGTTTTACTCATCACCTTCTCAAAGCGAGGGTGTTGTTAAAGAAATTGAGAGGACGAAAAACGAATGTCGAGTTGGAAAACCCTCACTCCAAACCAATGCTATACATGGGATTTTGGATTCTAAGGAAACAAATGGTGTGTGAACCAATTATTGGTCACCGGCTACCATAGGACTGTATCTCCTTACGTTGCCCCACTGTTTTGTGGATTAGACCTTTGGGTTAAATGTACGGAATGTGGCCCCCTAAGAAAACCACTTGTCTCGGTTTGAGCACCCGGTCAATATCCTAGCCCTTATATAAATCTAATGATTTGTATTGCGCATATCTATTTGTTACTTCCTTGTACCAATATTTATGCGTTTAAATAAATAAATGGAACTCCTATGAGATGCTCATCCATTGACTCCACCATAGATGTGATTATACGTTTGTAATATGTGCAGTAATTCAAAGTGCACGTATTCATTCCGTGAACCGAAAAATTGGAAGAGTAAAATAAAACTCCTTATTTAGAGGAAAGGTGTCAAAGTCAATAACTAGGAAGCTATCGTACTGAAATACATTGGAATGCGTATTTTTCATTTATAGATGAATGAGGTTGAATATTCACTGATTAGGTAAGAATGTTGATTTGAAACTAGGTGATAAGTTTCGCTAGGTAGTCAGTAGAACACTGGATCATTTAAACTCGATTCTCTAGTTCTAATTTATTTGCAATATATACTGCCACATACTTCAAAAACACCACATCATCTTTATTTCAGTGTGTATTTTAGATTGATAGATTGCACATCTTGACCGTGGGATGTAAATCAAACAGTTTACTTGTAATTTCGTGGCCCTCGTGTATGTGACTCCATTTATATCGTACGAATGATTGCTATGGAAATATACATCTCAGCTACCCTCATACATAATCATCGATTCAAATCGTGTTAGTGAATTATAGAATTAAATAAGTCAAGTGCGAGAATGGATTTCAAATACTTATATTTCATACAATCGTTGATCCAGACAGACGATCAGAGAAACGAAGTGTTGAAAGAGGAGAAGAGAGAGTGGAATAAAGCGTATCGGAGAAGGCATGTGAGCCAACTTGACTTAAGCAAACGTGAATGAGTATTTATATCCAGCCGCTACAGTATTAATCAAGATTGATTTAGAATACATTCAGTTCTCTGTTGTGTCTTAATGTTAAAAACTAGTTTCGTAAGTCAATATTGGAAGTTTTGACGTAGATTTCTTTGCAATAATCCGTTATTTGATGCTACTGTTTTAAATTTCTAATGGCACGTAATCTGACTCCAGTTAGATCGTTTCTGATTGTTATTGAAATATACATGTCACCAATCCATGTTTATATTCATCGACTGAACTTGCGTTTGTGAATAACGGAACTAATATGACAATTTTAAAACCATTAGTCCCTTTGATAAATTTCGATAATGCAATGAGAAGACGTAGTTTATCAGAATTATGTGATATATTTGCGCAATACATTTCGAACAATCTGATCACACATATACTTGTTAAGAACATTTATATATGAAAAATTAAAAGGTCAACTAGACAGGTTAAGGGTAAGTCATAACAAAGGAAAAATATTAAAGTACACAAAAACAATTGTGATTACCACTCTGGACAGTAAATCAGTACTACCAGGGTAGGTTAAGTGTAAGTACAAATTGTTTTTGAAGACATAAAGGGGGTTTCAATTTTCGTATAGCCAAGGCTTCAATAAACCTTAGTATACGTCCTTGAAGGCTTTTGTACAACACAACAAATGCTGATTTGATATCAACCTTATGACCCGTCTCAATAAAATGTTTCGCAATGGATGATGATGTCTGTCTATTCTGTGGTCTTATTTCACCATTGGAATTCATCTGAT